AACTGCTGGCTTCAGGTCCTTCCAGAACATTTCTATAGGATTAAGGTCAGGGCTTTGACTTGGCCATTCCAAAACATTAACTTTCTTCTGCTTTAACTATTCTTCGGCCGTACGACTTGTGTGTTTTGGGTTGTTGTCTTGCTGCATGACCCACTTTCTCTTGAGCGTCATGGATAGATACCCTGTCATTTTCCTGTAGAATTTGCTGGTACAATTCAGAATTCATAGTTCCATCAATGACGGCAAACCGTCCTGGTCCAGAGGCAGCAAAGCAGGCTCAAACCATGATATTGCCACCACGTTTCACAGATGGGATAACGTTCTGATACTGGAAAGCAGGGTTTACCTTTCCCAAACATAACACTTTTCATTCAAGCCAAAAAGTTCTATTTTGGTCTCATCTGTCTCTAAAATATTCTTCTAATAGCCTTCTGCCTTATCCACGTGGTCTTTCACAAACTGTAGACAGGCAGCAGTGTTCTTTTTGGAGAATAGTAGCTTTCCCCTTGTAACCCTGCAATGTACCCCACTGTTGTTCAGTGTTCTCCTGATTATGGTCTCATGGACACTGACATTTGTCAATGCAAGAGAGGCCTTTAGTTCCTTAGACATTATCCTGGGCTTTTTTGAGACCTCATGGAATATTACACACCTTGCTCTTGGTGTGATTTTGATTGGTCAACCACTCCTAGGGAGTGTAATAATGGTGTTGAATTGCATTTATTTGTACATGATCTGCCTGGCAGTGGACTGGTAGAGTCCAAACTCTTTGGAAATAGTTTTGTAACCTTTTTGAGTCTGGTGAACATCAATAACTGTTTTTCGGAGGTGCTCTGAAATCTCCTTTCTTCGAGCCATGACACACTTCCATATACCTGTCTTATGAAGATCAGACTTTGATAGTGAATATCCAGAATTCTGTTCTTAAACAAGGCAGGACCTCCCACACTCATATCTGATTATCATCCCATTAATTGAAACACCTGACTCTAATTTCCCCTTCAAGTGGACTGATAATCCTAGAGGTTCACATACTTTTGCCACAAACAAATATGTAGCTTTGGATCATTTTCCTCAATAAATCAAAGAACAAGTATGTTTTTGACTCATTTGTTTAATTGGGTTCTCTTTATCTAATTTTAGGACCTGTATGGAAAACAGATCACATTTTAGGTCCTATTTATGCAGAAATATTGAAAATTCAAACAAGTTCACCAACTTTTAAGCACCACTGTTATTTACAAGGAGTTTTTAGCCATCATGGATGCCTTTCAGAACTGGTGTCATTTGTTGGAAAGGGCATAAGAATCCATCTTCAGATTTCTTATAAATTTATTCAATATCAACCTGGTAGGCACAATCTCTTTCTGGTTCTGACTTTCAAATATCTTGAATTCCAGGTACAAAGAACAAGAATGTTGGCACCTTGTCAAACAAGTTTCTTGTGCTTTATGAATCCCTCCTGCTTCCATCTTATGCTGTGAATTTTGGGGAAGACGGAGGGGTCCCCGCCAACAGTTCTCCCTCAATTGTGTTGGAAGAAAGACTTCTTCCTTGGTTGACCATATGCATGCTAATACCCCAGGATGTTTATGTACAGACTAGGAGGAACCACTTGTAATCATCATACCCTGATGGAAAATTGCAGCACAATGATCATACGTTCTTCCTTCCTTGATGAAGAAGATTCTGCAAATCTGTCATGACAGCTGCCCAGATGGACATTTTAGAGCATTTAAAAGTTATATTTTCTTGTCTAAGGCTGAACAGATGCTAAGAATTATGACCCACCATGCCAGATCAGTCAACATACCAAGCCTCAGACTGGCAAACTGCAGGCCCCACCCACCTGACAAAAGCCTTGGACTTTACAACTGACCTATCACATCCAGGCTCTAAATACTATCTTGGTTATGGCTGATCTGAAGATGGTCTACTTCATTCTTTGCCATGGCTTTTCCTCTACCAACAAAACAGCCTGTTTATCCATATTTTCAAATATTGTAAGTTGCCCAAACTCCTGATTTCTGATGGAGGCTACAATTCATAGTATGCTTCTAGCAGAACCTATTTAACTACTGGATGTTAAAATCCATCTATCTCTGGACAATTACCCACAGTCAGATGGGGGAATGCCATGTTGAAGCAATACCTTTGTTGTTGCAACCAAAGAGAAGCTTTCGGCAATGAAGACTAAGGGAAACAAACAGTATGTACCACTTATTTCTGCTGCTCTGAACCTGGAGGAACAGGGGCTTTCTACTGTGGAGACAAAGGGAGGGAAAACAACTCTCCTTCCTACTATTCTGCATCAGAAAGGAGGAGGAGTGGTTTCTGATCTTTCCAGACACCCAGAGGGGGAGGAGGTGTAATAAAGAGGATGGTGTAACAGTTACATGATTATATGAACAACCAACAGCTACCTAGCCACATGGCTGAGAGGCACAAAGCAAGGTCACCATTAGACAGTGGGAAAGGAGGAAAAAAGCAGCGCTGGATTTAAACTGTAGTGGGTAAAAAGAGGGGACTGTACTCTCACACAGACACAGAGCAGTCACCTGCCTAAAACAGCTTTATTCCAGTATGCATTAAAGATTATATAGCTGTGGCAAGTCAAGTGTTTAGGCAGTTTCTGTCAAGTTTGAGCTAGGGAGCTTGATAACCACAAATAAGAGGAAACATAACTCATAAGCAATTTGAGGCTAATGGTAAAATATTGTGACCAGGTATAAAGCCTCTGGAGTAACATTTTCTAGTTAGTTAATATTTTTATTATTACTACTAGATTTTTATCCCTTTAAAATATATATAGAGAGAGGGGGGGGAGAGAGAGGGAGGGAGGGAGGGAGGTCAACTCATGGTGGCGAACATACTCCTGCCTCCTACTTTCCCCACAACCACCTTGTGAGGTAGGTTAGGCTGAGACAGAGTGACTGGCCCAAAGTCACCCAACTGGCTTTCATGCCTCAGGGAGGCCTAGAACTTACAGTCTCCTGGTTTCTATGCCAGCATCTTAACCGCTACACCCAACTGGCTCTCTAATAATGAAGACTTGTCTCTGGACATTTTATCTTATGATATTAAGAATTAAAAGGTCAAAAATGCATTGCTTATTATGTTCCTGACATTTTTAGATTATAAAATTGGTACCAACAATATTTGATAGATTTTTAATGTATTTCTAAATTCATTATACTTTTCACAAGATACCATAAATGGATATTAAAAGATGAGAAATCTTATCTACAAAGAAGAGAAATGCAAAGATTTACTCAGATCAAAAGCATATTTTAACTGTTCTTGTGAAATTCTTGAGAAAGTACCAGTGAAAAACCATTTTCAATATTATTTTAATTGTACATCTTATTATAATGCAATTATCTAAAAAAGAGGTCAGATATTTCATTTTAATGTAATTATCTGCATTCAAATTTACTCTACTTTCTTGCATTTTCTTCTCCTTACCAGCCCCTAGAGGTTCCTGCCCAAAAGTTCTCTCCCTCTGGAGACTTCCTGTTAAATGGGTTTACTTATATGGTATACCTAGTAGCAGGAGAAACTAGGACTGAAGCACTTCACAAGAAACTGTAAAAGCTGACAGAGAAAAGATTGGGAAAAACAGTTATCCTTCTTTTTGTTTGTGAACTCACTACATTTTAAATGTTATTCATTCAGATTGTAAGAGCCAAATAAGATTCCAATTTACCATTCAATATAATTGGCTTAAAAACTAAAACTTTTCTCTTTCTTGCTTTTATCATACTGTAAAGCAGCCAACCTTGACAAATATAATTTTACATATTAAAGCCTACATATGGTGAACCAACCTTCCTATCACTGTATTTTCTTATTTACTCATTAAATATCAAAATTTTACATTCTATCTGAATAGGAAGCATGTAGAAACACATATACAGCTTTCACTTCATACAATTATTTTTCCTTAAAATTGAGAAAGGAAAGATCACAAGGACAGAACTATACTAACATCCAATACACAACTGACATGTCTACTGAATGAAGAAGTAGAATCTCTTAATTGCTCACATACAGACATTCAATAGGAATAATCTCTGTAGAGACATATGGTTATTTAATTAAATACAAAATGAATTGTCATGAATTTCCCCCAAGAGAAATAAATCCAAAGCTCAGTATTTAGTACATAGATGGATCAAGTTCAATGCTAACAGTGAAATTCTTCCAAATCAATCCCCTTAAATTCCTTGGTTAAATTTTTCACCGTGCTTAGAATTTCATTAATATATTGCTAGCAGGAAAACGGGTAAAGCAAATAAATGACTTTTGTGATTAAACCCGTTTTGTATTGTATTGTATGTGAACTCTTTTTGTATTGATGGAAGAACAACATCATATCATTTTTCAAAGTAAGAAATATTTCTGTTTGATTAGTTATAAATACAGAGTAAATAAGAAATATTGATGTCTTATTTTGAGTTTTAAAAAAATAATACTGTATTTCCTTGGTGAAAGTTCCCTATGTTCGTGAATGTTTTTCTTTTTCTTTTTACAAAATCAAAATTTTATTATTTAAAACATATAAATACTTGAATAATAATACTGAGAAGTAACTTCTAAAATAATCAATCTACTCCATTGTGTTCACTTAGTATATATAAATATCATTTGAGGGTTCAAATATTTTACGTTCTTTCTGATTATCAATAAATGGTATGCTAAAAGTTATGTTCTTGGATGCCACTGCGTTTATATAGAAAGGCCTTGAGTAAACTGTCATGTTGGTGGAGATGCAATGAGATTCATGCTTTATTTAAACATGTTTGCAATTATCCTATAATTGTTCCATTTTGGGAGGTAGTTAATAACATGCATTAACTTAACTCTGAGAAGACATTTCATATTTTGAGATGTTCATATTCTTCTAAACTATATTTCTACTGAGTGGAAACTGTCGTCTGGACAAAGAAAGTTATGCATCAGTATTTTTTGATTAAAAATTAAGTCAATATATTGTTTACCTGAGTGGAGTTAGATAGTTGTTTTTTCCACGGCTCCTCTGCGCTGCTGGTCAGGTTTGTGCGGTTATGAGGTAGAGAGAGTGCGTTTCGCTGCAGGTAAGGCACGTTTCCATTACTTCCACTTCCTGTTATGTGATTATTGCCTATCAAAATAGTGTCTGTACTACTCAGCGTTCTTGCTGTGCTGCAGGGAACTGAGCCTGCTGGAAAGGGTCCATTTGCCATAGGCTGCCCAGGGCAGGTTGGACGGATTCCGTGCTGTGTGATGTTAGGCACTCTGGTTAGAGCAACCTGTGGCTGCTGACCAGAGACAGAGTTTGTAGGCAGTGATGAGTCAGCTGTTGGCCCATTAGCAATTCCAGTAGATCGTACCTGTGCAACTCCCATCTGCCTCATCTAACAAAAAGGGAATAAAATATTAAAAAGTCAGGCAAATTATTTCAAGTTATGATTTCCTCAAGCATTTTTGCTGGAGCAGGTATTAAAGGCCAAACTACCAAGACATTTATAAATGTTCTTAGTGCAGATACACTCTTCGAAAGTTTATGAATCTGTCACATAAAAAGCATCAAAAAAATTATACAACCCCATAGTGTGACATACGGATGATTCTGTCTGAAGAAGATTACACTGAGAATAATAATGAAAAGATCTGTTATCCCTTTGGAGTACTTTATAGGCAAAAGTTGCATTTACATACATGGTTATCATTCTTAAATCACTGTGTACCTGTAACATGCACCAATGGACTTCTCAAATAATGATGCTATACTGGCAAAAATAAAATAAATACAGCAGCAGCAGCAGCAGCAGCACAATAAAAACATAGTAACAGAAATCCAGCAGAAATCAGGAATAACTAATACAACCAGGAGCAGTGTAAGCCTCAAAATAAAATGTTTGCTCCCAGATTTTCTGAAGGAGTACAGTGTTAAAGCCAGGCATATTTTTCTGACAAAACTATTATGGAAAAGTATGCACCTTCATTACATACATACATAGATACATACAATGCTTCTAGTAGATATCCTGCCACCTAATAACGATAAGAATGGCAAAGTAACACTTTTGAAGCTTTACTTCACCAAATTCTATACCATCTCTAGATAAGCTTACACATTACATTAATGACAGAAATTAAAATGCCACGCTATAAATGTGTTCTACTTCTATATCAATAATTTAAGGATAAATCATTGCAGTATATTATCTCACTGCCTCTGGAAAAGACTGAGCCTATGTGAAATAACTTATGCTAATTTACTATATGAGTTCCTTCTAACCTACTTGTTCATCCATCCCTTTTTTCCACACTTACAACACTGACCAAGAATGACTGAAACATTCATAAGTATTTAAAATCCTAGAATTTAAATGTCCAACCCACTTCATTTCATAAGACAATCTGCAAAGTAAATGTATTTGCTGGCACCTGCTGGTGTTGCTGCATCAAGACAAACTGACTCTCCAGCTGTTCCAGCATAAGTTTCTGTGCTGGATTTAAACTATTTCTATTTGCACGCAGCTGTTCCAAGTGCTGAAAAAGAAATAAATACATATTCCTTAAGGTCCTGGTATCACAATATGACCAATCTATCTTCTTAAATAATCTATTTACTTTCCTTTTAAAACCATCTTTTAAAAAAGTTATGCTAATAATATACTCAAACCTACTCAAAATCAAGACAATTGCAAATGGAGTGGTATAGCAAGATAAACATTGTTAACTTTGATGATAGATGCTGACAACAAGTCCATGCAAAACTCACGTTCTGTAGAGAATAGCACACTGTACAGTATACACAGCAATAAACATTGATAGCTTTAAAGCTATCTCTACTGTACATTTATTTATTTATTTATATTATGAATTTAGATGCCGCCCACCTCACGAGGAAGTGACTCTGGGCAGTTTACAATAAAAACAATAAATAAATATCAGTTAAAATACAATAAAAAACCGTATAAAATACAATAAAACCAAATACATACATAAATAATATCTTCCAAGATGTTGGTGATCGAAAAAATATTAACGTATGGGAGCATCTTCAAGGTGCTAGCCACCCCCAGGGTTGGTTGCCCCTTTTCTCGTCCCATACAAGGTGGCAGACCAGGTCTTGACTGCTTTCCAGAAGGTCAAGAGAGTAGGGGCCTGCCTCACCTCTGGGGAAAGGGTATTTCATAGGGCGGGGGCCACGGCAGAGAAGGCTCTCCTTCTGGGCCCTGCCAGTCGACATTCATCTATGGGGTCCCCAGCATTCCCTCTTTTCTTGACCGGGTGGGATGGATCGATATAATAGGGGTGAGACAATTCCTCATGTAACCCAGTCCCATGCCATGTAGGGTTTTAAAGGTGATAACCAACACCTTGAATTGGACCCGGAAGCAAACTGGGACCCAATGCAGCTCGCGCAGCAAAGGTGTAACATGTGCCATCTTTGGGGCACCCACACTGCCCGTGCGGCTGCATTTTGTACCAGCTATACTTCTGGATACTTTTCAAGGGTAGCCCCATGTACAGCGCATTGCAATAGTCTATATGGGAGATGACTAGGGCATGAGTGACTGACTGGAGGGACTCCCGATCCAGGAAAGGGCAAAACTGGTACACAACATGAAGTTGAGCAAAGGCCCTCCTGGCCACAACTGCCACCTGCTCTTCAAGCAGGAGTTGTGAGTCCAGGAGGACCCCCAGATTACGCATCGGGTCTGTCTGGGGTAGCGCCACCCCATCCAGAACCAAAGATGGTAAACTTCCAGATAGAGAGGAGCCCCCAACCCACAGCCACTCCGTCTTACCAAGGGTTCAGCTGAAGCCTGTTGTTCCCCATCCAGACCCCCACAGCCTCCAGGCACCGTGAAAGGGTGATAGAGAGGAGCCCCCAACCCACAGCCACTCCGTCTTACCAAGGGTTCAGCTGAAGCCTGTTGTTCCCCATCCAGACCCCCACAGCCTCCAGGCACCGTGAAAGGGTAGTCACAGCATCCCTCAGATCATCTGGGATGGAGATGTATAATTGGGTATCATCTGCATATTGATGATACCTCATCCCATGGTGGCAGATGATCTCACCCAGTGGTTTAATGTAGATGTTAAAAAGGAGCGGGGAAAGTACCAAACCCTGTGGCACTCCACAAAGAAGGGGCCGCGGGCTGGACCTCTTGCTCCCTATCAACACCGATTGGGACCGTACCTGGAGGAAGGAGGTGAACCAGCACAAAACTGTGCCACCCACCCCCAACTCCCTGAGCTGACCCAAAAGGATACCATGTTTGATGGTATCGAAAGCCACTGAGAGGTCAAGAAGAGCAAGGATGGATGCACTACCCCCATCCCACTCCCACCAGAGATCATCCGAAAGTGCAACCAATGCTGTTTCAGTCCCAAATCCGGGCCTGAAAACCAACTGAAAAGGGTCCAAATAGTCTGTTTCATCCAGGATCCTCCGGAGCTGCAACACCACCACTTTCTCAACCACCTTCCCTAAAAAGGGGAGGTGGGATACTGGACAAAGATTGTCCAGTACGGTGGGATCCAGTGATAGCTTCTTGAGGAAGGGGTGCACCAGCACCTCTTTAAAGGCTGCTGGAAACACTCCCTCTCTCAAGAATGAATTCACCATCGCCTGGACCCACCCACATGTCACCTCCAGAGCTGCCTTAACCAGCCAGGAGGGGCATGGATCTAATTGACAGGTGGTGGCATTTACAGCACGGAGGACCCCGTCCACTTCCTCAGGTCCAACAGGATCAAACTTAACCTGTTTTCCTCTGTCAATTCCCTTAATCTGAGCGAAACACACTGCACTTCTGGTTAAAAAAAGGCATTTAACCTGCTAAGAAACCAAAGCTGTTCATCTTTTTGATTCAGCATATCAAGAGAAACTTTTGAGTATTTCAGTTATTATTGATCAAATATTGTAGGGTATCAAAATTATAACCTACAAAAAAGTATTCTCACAGCAAAAGCATTGTATGAAATGACTATTATTCCGTGACATGTTTAACTATGTCATAACAACCCATTCACAAACATTAAAAAAATGTGTTTTCATACAAATACAGTGCTTCCAGGTAACCTGCAGAATTAATGTGTAGAGCATTTATTTTAGCTACAGCAATAATTTCTATGATTTAATTTAAATACCCCAAAAGAGGAAAGATATAAATACAAAAACATTTATATAAATATACATTAAAAGGAAAATACATCAGAAGAAAATTTAGTTAAGTCATAAGGTAAGATGTAATCATCCTGGTTTTTATTTTTATTTATTTCATTAAGAAAAAAAACTTCACCTGTAATTTCTGTGGTGTCAAGCACCAAGAATGTATTTGTTGCTGTACCGGAGGATGTGACACTGTGTGGCCACTGCTCCAAGCCTCTAAAGTGTTCTAAAAATAAATAATAACAATAACAACAACAGTAGTAGCAGTAGAATATCTAAGAGCCAAAATGTATTAATGATGCTCACTACAAATCAAGACAAATTCTTAAAAAAAACCAAACATAAAAATATTGCAATATTAGTTAATAGAATAATAACGTGAGATAATGCAAAAAACAACCAATTATGATGAATAATTAAATAAAATCAAATGATATATATTTCAAAGTTTACCAAAATTCATTTTAGTTTCTGCAATACCATACATGTGATGATTCAGCATTCTAAATATAAGCAAAGATGACAGACAAAATGGCATGGCCCTCTTCGTACCTTCTGCTATGGTACTACTATAGCTACTGTAATGGTCAACTACTCTTACACCAATGTCACAGTTGTGGACATTATAATTGTTATAAAGCGCTATCTTGGTAATGGACTAATTCTTCTGAAAGCCTGACTCTTGAAACTAAGTGGGGCTCTTACATGAGTATATATACCTTGGTTGGACTAGATGGTCTTTTCCTCTTGGCTGGACTGGACAGGTCATCTACATGGCTAGAAGGAATCATGTGTAGTGGCAATTGCTGTGAAATAGGTGTTTGACTGAGGCCTAGTACAGGTTCAGTATTTTGATGAGGTTTACAAGCCTAGGAATCAGAGGGAGAGAAAATATGGTTCTATTCATTTTAAACTGTTCCTTGAACTATATATCTTTTACCAGCTGTACATTTTAAAAAGGGCTGTGAATTTATTCTGAGTTTATTTACTGAAAATAAATTTTCATAGCATCAAAGGAGCAGTGTGTACCTTTCATGGGTTTGTTTTCAAAACAGACAGAGAAAAAACTGCTGCAAATTCTAAGTGGGATGAAATCTTTGTGATAATTATGAAATCCACAAAGGTTCTAAATTGGTACCCCCATATTTCTTCCATAACAGGGAGGTTTCTTAATCTCCCTCTGCTATTAAGTCTTATTACCAGTGAAAACTAACTCTGTGCTACAGCAAAATACTCTTGACTACTACAGATTGATTGAAAAGAACCCTTAAAAAGCTGGGCACCTGCAGAACATAACCCAACTTCTCACCTGCTGTGCTGTGTTCATGGCACCCTGCCTGGAGGTAAGCTCTGCGGGGATTGGTAGGCTCCATGCCTCCTCAATACTAGGAAGTAATTTAGTTTTATTCTGTAGACTACCTTGTGGAAGGTTACACAACTGAGCCTAGGAAAAATTATGTAAAAAGTGAATTTAACACAAGCCTAATTTAGTAAGATCAAGTCCATGAAATTTTCCTAAATTCTGTACTCTATTATGTCTTAGAAAGGATCAATTTTAAATCTGGGACTTCAGAGAAATGCTAAGGATAAAGAGGGTAACCAGATATAAACCTTTGTGAGAATTGGAACAAAGTTGAGCTCTGATTTCAGTGGTCTCATTAATTCTTTGGTTCTGAAACTGCTAACAAGAGCAATAGATAGTGTGTGTATTTTCTTACTAAATGCTATGATAACTTAAAATGTAGACAACACAAAATATGCATAAATTATATCAAGATACAAAAAAGAATACTTAAGAATAGAGACCCACTTAAAATGAAAAATCAAATGAAACTGCAAGCTATGGCATGTCCTGAATGCATATGAAAACAGATTGCGAAGCTTATGAAACAATCACATATAAAACGTTTGTGTCCTTATTTTCCTCCTTCTTCCTAACCCCATATTATCACTAACAGGTCCCTATTTTAAGACCATGTTTTTACCTGTAAATACTTTATTCGTGCTGCAAGTGCAGAGGTATTACTACAGTTTTTGCTTCTGGTTGCATTTAAGTAGCATTTAATGGCATCCTGAGACTGGTTGCAGGACTCATAGAGGGTGCCAAGATCCATCCAGGCTGCAGCATGGCCATGGTCCAATTGTACAGCACAGATATAGGCCTGTAATGCATCCATAGGCTGATTCTGCTGCTGATACAGCACACTAAAAAGACAAATAATCAATTCTAACTAACAAAATCATCTCCAAAGTTTCATCATTTGTCTCAATTTGTACCTAAACATGTGATAAGAATAATTCTCCAGAGCAATAAAACTATAAAATCTCAATTTACTCTAATAGAATGTTTGGAAGTGCTTCAAATAACTTTTTAAATAAGAAGTTGTATTATACAGTACTTAGTTAATTTTGCCTAAAAGTTAGCCTTAAAATTAACTTTGAGAATATATACATCCTATATTTGAAGTATATCTAGCACAATTAGAAATTAAAATTATATTTTATAAAACAGGTCTAAGAATACATAGAATCTATTAAAAACCCTCTTGCTCAAATAGATTACATTTTGCTATATTACTTCTCTTATAATCTCTTACCCTATAGAACACCATGTGTCTGCACTTGCTTCTGATTTATCAATAGATTGCCTATAAGAAATAAAGGCATCCTGAACTTTCCCAATACTTGAATAGCACCTGAAAGAAAAGATGGATAAAAACAAATTCAGGCTGATTTTACAATTGCTTGCTTTTAATATTCCATGGATTAATTACAATTCATGGATTCTTACAATCTGCTGTCTGGTTCAATTTATGTTCTACATGTTAAAAGCAATTACAGCAGACTCTTGCAACCATCAAAAAATTTCTAGCATTATGAAATACAAGTGGCAACCATATGCATAATTCATAGGTATCAACTTATAGGTAATAGTTGCCAATATTACACAATAAACAAAGACCCAATATGAACAGAACAAAATCTGAACTGAAAACAACCAATATTTAATGTGGAAAATCGTTCTTACTATATTTCTCTTCCCCCAAACTAAATTGAAGGAATTAGTTCCAGACCCCATAACCAAGGCTACACAAAATGAATTTAAAATAAAGAATTCACTGATTTGTATTTTAGAATAAAATTAAACATTAAAATTGAAATAGAATGTAAACCACCAGGAGTAATTTTTTAAAAGTTTTGCAGTATATTAAATAAATGCTTACTTGAAACAGTGTACTTTCCTAATAAAATCTCAGGCTTATTTGCCTTTAATACAGCAGTACATAGGCGCAGGAAGACAGTCAGAAACTAGTAATGTAAGGCTGAGGAAGACAGAACCTTTACCGAATTATTTTATCATGCATTAGAAATAGGGATACTGGTACTATCCAGATATTTTCAACTATAGTGCAACCACCCCTTGCCACTGGCCATACAAGCTACGATACTAGGTATTTTGGAGGTGAATCCAAAACATCTGGAGGATTCCAGAATACCTGTCTTATCATACCCAAGGTGGCAAACAGCTGGAAGAAGAAAATCAAAACATAAATAAGTGTTTTCTTGTTTTTGCAGCCTAAACAAGGCAAAAGAAGAAGAGGCTTAACAAGTTCTGTGTATGAACTGTCAGGCATGTATAATTGCCATTATTTGGATTGAAATTTGGAAACTTCATAGGTAGTACTTGGGACAGATTAAAAAACAAGATCTCATAAACCTCTCTCTAAATATCCACATGTAGTTTTGCTTATGGTTTCTATACTTATCCTGAACAATCCCATGATTATCAATGCTAAAAAATTTTCTGCAAAATAATTATCTTCAAACAAAGCACAGGTAGTCCTTGGTTAATGACCAGTTGTTCAGTGACCATTCCAAGTTACGACGGTCCTGAATGAAGAGACTTATAGCTGGTCCTCAAAGTTGAGGTGGTTGCAGCATCCCCACAGTCACGTGATCACAATTCCAGCACTTGGTAACTGGCTCACAGTTACAACAGTCACAGCATCCCACGGTCACATGAATGCCATTTGTGACCTTTCCTGCTGGCTTCTGACAAGCAAAGTCTATGGGGAAGCTGGCAGGAGGTCACAATTGGCGATCACATGACTGTAGGATGCTGCAACCACGTGGGATTCGCCTAACAACCACGACTGGGATTACCGTTGTAAGCCAGTGCAGTCATGTGACATTGCACTGTATGACTGCATCACTTAGCAACAAGGTTCCCAGTCTCAATTACTGTCGTTAACCAAGGAGTACCTATATAGAATGCATGTTACCCTAGCATATAAATCAGGTATTTGCTTCTTCTATGTACATATTTGCTGAACCATAAATTTTGTTATCAGAATTCATTCTTTACCTTCCAAGGAAATACCAGGATTGGCCAGAGTTTGGATCTGCCTCTAGAGACTTCTGGAGACACTGAATAGCATAGTTTTCCTTGGTGGCTTTATCTCCTAATTGATCCACTGTGTGATGCATCCAGCCTGAGAAAAGAAACATGTATATATATATTTTTAGAATGTCTGTGTATGTTTTAGAATGAACCAGATTATTGTATTATTTTACTTATTTATTGTTTTATTATGTGTATATCATGCCAATAAATGTCACAGCTAACAGAGTTATTTACTTCAACCAACCCAACAGAAAATTAGCACTATAGAAGATACCTAATTAGCAGACAAAAAGTACATTCTACTTAAAGCTGAACATCTTTGCCAGTGAACCACTGTAGTTTTTTTCTTACAATACCCTCTTGTTTTTATTAGTTTTATCAGAACAAAAGGAAATGATAACAATTTATTCTATACAGCTTACAAACTCCCCTCTAATGAATCACTATAAGTAAGGGGGGAAATGGCAATATACAATTAGGGAAATACAAATAACCACAAATACAACATTCAAACAAAGAACAAGTACATCATTGTAAGATTTATCCAGCCACTACGAGGTAACACACACAGGACCTGAGTTCATTACAATGATGTATATCAGACAGAGAAAACAGTTTTTATTAGTAGCAGTCTTAATGTTAGCCTACCTAGCTTCTGTAAAGGAAATCCATTATTGTATTTAGGATTAAATTAACATGAAATTAAGTTTTATAAGAGGCTCATGTGGAGCTTTAGGTTACTCATAAGCTTCATTTTGGAGGCAGATGCTACAGCTGGAGCCATTGCTATGTAACACCTGCCCCCCTTTTTTAAAAGGGCTTGGCTCCTCTCAGAAAGTATTTAAGACTCAATTCCCAATAGCAAGGCAGCAAACTGTACTTGTTTCTATAGCACTGTTGATAGTTGATTTCAGGGAATGCAAATACATTTATACTTCTGAGTAAAAAAAATGTATTTTAGATACTAGTATATTCTATAAAATTCTATCCAATTCTTTCTCTATATTTTAGATATAATCAATCTCAATCTGTAATTGTATAACAGAGAAAACCACTAAACTGCAATTGCAGCAACAACTAATTGAAAGTAAAAGAATGAGTTTTCCATTTACTTCTTTTGGATATTAATATCATTCTGAAAGTTTCACTGAAAAATGAGCTATTTGGAAAAAAAATAGATAATTGATGGTAATATATGATTTAAGGCTGTATGCTTGCACTTCTACATTTAGAAGACTGATACAAAAGAGTCAAGTACTTTTCCTAATGAAAAATTACAATTTGAAGCTGAATTGTTGGAGCACTGGATATATTACAATGTCCTGTAAACCAAACAGTGTTAAAAACATGCAACATGACTTGCATTTCTTCATTTGTACCTACCTAACTGCTGTAACACAGTTGCTTTCACTTGTGCAGGAAGGTTTTCAGACTGCAAAAGTTGTTCGTATTCCTTCTTTGCCAAATGATATTTTCTCTAAAAAGGAGAAATACATGTTTATTGAAGTGATAACTTTGTTAAACTGGCAACCGGACTGATATTACAATTAAAAACAAAAATATATGTGAATGTTAATGGCAACTAGCACATTGCAATAAAATACTATGTTTATGAAAGGAATTATTTTAAAAAAGCAAATTCAAATATAATAAATGATGAATATTTGAATCTAGTGAATCCTGATCTATCAACTTACTATTATTAATTAAATGTGACCTATACTAATTCTATTAATTCTATTCTATTAATCATATTACTGATGCTCTACTCAGCTGGTGATGACAATGTCCATAATAAATTTAGACTGCCCATATGCAATTCCAAAATGAAGAAGAGAGGTAAACTGCTGAAGAACCAACAGTTGAGTGGTGATGGAAGTGAATCAATGCAATCCATTAAATTAAACAAAAGCTAATTATATTCAACACTGCCTCACTGTTCAACATTGTCACTTTCTGATTCTCAATTTCTATACTACACATTAGGATTAAATCTCCTACAGGGTATGTAAAGATAAATGGAAAAGACGTGGAACGAGTGAGGAGATCCTTAATCAAAGCGGGGTTTAAAAGTAGTGCAAATACTGTCAAGCAACTAGAACATCTGCCTTTTCAATTCAAACATACTGGGTTGGATCCAGGGCTGCTGCTCCACAAATGGAAGAGCCTCTTCCGTTCCCAGAAGTGAGTTGGATCCAGTGGATGCTCCTCCTCAACTGGATGCTTCTGCAGTGGAAGAGGGGGAAGCAATTTTCACTGATTTCCCCTTCCCCCTGCAGCCCTCACTGCTACCTCAAACACTGTTCAAGTGGCCCCCAACCATCTGGAACAGATTTTTGAGGGCATACAGGCTGTAGAAGGAGGGGAAAATAAGCAAAAATAATTTCTTTCCCTCACCCTCAACTGAGGGATCTGCTCAGTTCTGCCCCATTAAACTCTATAAACAGATCTTACATTTGTGACTGATACTAGGACCAACTAAGTTGGTCAAAAACTGCAGCCATTTGGATCTGTGAAATATCATCTTGTAGCATTTATTTATTTACTTATATTTGTTATGGCAGCCCACCCCAAAAGACTCTGGGTGGTTTACAATATTGGAGCATACAATTAAAACCGTTAAAAATGACAACAAAATCTAACAGTCCAAACTAAAAAAAAACCCAATCATAACAATAAAAAAAACACACATGGGGGCTCCACAAACACACTAGCTCCAGGCTTGAGAATGGAGCAGGCCTTAAGGGCCTTCTGGAACCCCAGAAGAGTAGGCGCCATACATATCTTTGGAGGGATGCTGTTCCAGAGGGCAGGGGCAGCAACAGAGAAAACATGCCTGGAGTATATCACTCTGCCTGAACATACCAAGTGGGCGGAAACAATTGGGGATAGCTATGTATGACATTATGTATGTATGACATTACATAGCTAATCAATAAACAAATGGACAAACATTTGAAAGAATTATCATTATGTTTAACCATAATCTCAACTCTCAATTAATGTAGGCTTTCTAAGTGTGTGTGTGTAAAAACAAAACATCACTTTTCTTAAATTACCAATTTGGGACAATGTTATTATTCTTAGAACTTCTGGTATCATTTCATATACCAAGGTATATAAAAGGTGTGCTTTCTGTGCTGACACTGTATGTGTTTAACAGAAAACAGAAACCAAACTCAATATTGTCACGTGTTTTTTAACATAACAATATATTCCAACATTGTAATAAATCATTAGCATCTATTAATTAGATGTCAAAAATATTCATTATATTAATATTTATCAGACTGATGAAGACATAAGTGACTTGAATATCCTCTGAAAATGGGTATGTTGTCATTTGAATAAATTTGAATGTACGGATCTAGATTTCATGTCTTGGTATGTTATGTAGCGTATTCACTGCATATTTCGACTTTGGGCTATTCTTAAGAACTTATAAAAACTTTTGTGAATCATTTTAAGAATTTCTAGTCCTTTATGGTCAGACATAAGTGACTTGAATATCCTCTGAAAATGGGTATGTTGTCATTTGAATAAATTTGAATGTACGGATCTAGATTTCATGTCTTGGTATGTTATGTAGCGTATTCACTGCATATTTCGACTGCTCAGTAATCAAATTCCTTTGGGAAATGCAAAGCAGTAACAACAATGCTACATACAGTAAACCAGCTACAAATAACAACAATCTTGTAGCACAATTAAGGACCATAAAGGACTAGAAATTCTTAAAATGATTCACAAAAGTTTTTATAAGTTCTTAAGAATAGCCCAATTTTAATATATTTGTTTCTGGTTTACCGAAATGTAAAGAATAAATAGTTTGACCTTTTACAATTAAAAATACAAATCAAGTTGCCACTGTTTTTGAAAAAGAAAATTTTTGTATCATCTCACTGGTTGCCTCCTGTGGCTACTGTAATTCTTTGCATTAAGGTGGAAGAGATTAATTATAAAATATTGCTCTATTGACATATCCCAAATTGTTACATTTAATATTCAAAAGATATTACACACTTACCTGGGTTTCATATAAATGGGCAATGTGAAACCGAACTGTAAAAGTACGGAAGTAAAAATATTAGGAATAGCAGATTCAAAGTAAGTACTGCACATATGTATAATTTTATGTGTGAACGTTGTGTAATCAGGACATGTACAGAAGTAGAGAATACGCTTCTATCCTTCCAGAAAAAGATATGTCAAAAGAACCATCTTTACCTGCAAAAGCCACAGCATATTGGAGTTGCACATACGTATAAAGAAAATATGCAGGTCTGGGGGCTTGCTTGCTTGCTTATTTATTTATGCGTGCCTTTGAGTCAGTCTTTACTCCTGAAAAATGCCTGGACTAGTCCGTCCAGTTTTCTTGGCAAGATTTTCAGTTTTTTGTTTTTTGTTTATTAGGGCAAAGCAAATAGATTGCAAATTGCTTCTGTCTCAATTCAACTTAAATATATGGTGAATTGCTTTCTGGGCTTCAAAGGAAACTTCCTTTTGTTCCATTCTCCAAAATACCAATTTTATGCAATGACATATACTGATTTCAGGAACAAGGTATTTTTGAATTGCCTGATCGTTCAATGAATATTCAAGTCAATTTACAATAAACCAGAAATAATAACTAAATGCAGCTATTTGTTCTAATATATACAGCGGAAATAAGAAACTAAACATAGTTTTGGGAAGACATTAAGTGTCTTTGTACTCTGTATTATCATTTCCCCAAATGACACTTAATTCATAACAACTCCTTCATGATAGAAACTTAATTTGACACAAACTTCATCCTAAAAATAATTAGTCAAACCACTTTTGTCTGTACATCCTCTTATTATAAAAGTAGAAAGAGGCTATATTTTCACTATCTGAAGCATTTGAATAAGCTGTTCAGCAAAGTAAAGTGAGTATCTCCATTTTGGCTTTCTGGGATATATTTTTAATCATGTTACAATTTAGCCTAACCATGTAAGGACCAAATATTCTTAATTTAATTCATAACACGTACAATCATAATTGCAGGAAAAAAATGTTTAGGTTAAGTCTGGAAAGGGTTCTTTAAACAAATCCATGTACTAACCACCATTATACCAGTTATTTCCCCAAACAATAACATATTAAAGCTGTTCAAATACAAAAGAATTTTAAAAAGAGCTATAAATGGAATTATTTGCATATGGAATCTGTAACTTAGAACATAAACATACATTCTGTATTTCAGGTATCACTCATATTTATAAATCACAATGGTTTTTTTTCTCCTAAAAAATCCACCTTTTCAAGATTTTTAATGAAGTAAATTTGTTTCTCCCTTTCATAATTTAATCCCACTACACTGCTGGTGGTACTACAACTTTTATCTTAAACAAGAGTTTTGTGGCACTTTAGGGTTAAAAAAGGATTATGGAATATGCATGAGGTTGCCAATGTGATGACACTGTATAAGCCAACATACCCCAAAGCACCTGAAGAAATACAATTTCCCTTCCAGTAATGTTTTAAAATTCTCTGAATGCAGTTCAAATTGTTTCAGAACAAAGCATTAACCTCTAGTTGATGTTTTCATAAATGTTTTAAAGAACATACAGTTGTGGTTTATTATAAGATGCAGCTTTGTTTGGCCCATAAAGGGTGGGGGGAATAAAAAAGAGAAAAGGAATCTTCATTGGTGGGCAGGGGATACAGTTACCTGAGCCCAATACAGGTAGTTCTTGGTTAACAACTATAATTGGGACCGGAATTTCCGTCACTAAGCAATGTGTTTGTAAAGTGCAATGTCACCTGACTGCATCGCTTATGGACAGCAATCCCAGCTGTGCTTGTTGCCATCATTAACTGAATCCCACTGGTCATTAGGTGAAGACCCACTCCGATCCAAGCCATTCCCGCCTTGGTCCTTCCCAGACCCGAGCCTTGGTAAGGCAAGGCACTGCCTCCTCTTGAACTTCCCCCACCTACCTATCTCCCCCCCATCTCTGCCCTTTTGGCCAGCCACCTACCCGCTGCCACCAGCTGCCCGTCACCCAGCCCTGCCCACTGCACCATGAGCCACTACTGTATTGGCTGGGGTGTTCTTTCGCACCAATGCAGCCAGGGCTTCTCTTGTGCCCCACCCAGGGCCTCTGTTCATGAAAGAAGCCCAGCATGTGAGAGAAGGCCCTAGCTGTGCCAGCATGAAAGAAGGGCCTAGGCAGGGCACAAACAGAGGCCCTGGGCAGGTTGCGAGAGAAGGCTTGGCTGCACTGCCATGAAAGAAGGCAGCGTGAAAGGCCCTGGCCAGTACAGAAGTGGCGCATAGTGCGGAGGACTGTGGATGGCAGCAGGTAGGTGGGCAGCCAAAAGGTGGTCATAAATGTGGGTGGGCCCGAATGGGCCCAAATTTTGTTCACATGACCGCAGGGGCACTGCAATAGTCGGAACTTCTAAGACCAGTCGTAAGCTCCTTCATTCACTACCATTGTAACTTCAAACAGTCGCTGAACGAATGGATGTTAAGCAAGGACTACCTATACCAGGAATATGCAGTATGGATCCTAAAGAAGGCAGAAAAAGTAAAAAGAGGAATAACTCCCAGTATTTTGTGAACTGGACATGCCTCCCATGAAAATTATTCTTTGTGATACCAGAACATTTTCAAAGTTGTAAATGAGTCCTCAATCTCAGAAGGAATGGATAATAAAAATCCAGACACAACCTTTTATGGGCAAACCTTCTGTCTTGCAACTTGAAATACCTGACGAAGAACTAGAGAACAAATATATGGTGCTTTTAAGAGCAACAGTGAACAAATAAATAAATCCAGCCACCCAGCTATCTTGAAAGCATGACATGTTATCTACGTTTTTAAAGTACAAAAAACAACCAATGAGAGGAGGAAAGGAAGAGGAAACTGGGAATACATTACAGACAGAAATGATTTTTGTCCTGATGGTATTGTCAGATTTTTAAAAATGTGGAACAAATGGTCAAGAAAATAGTAACGAGGGACGGATGTGAGGAAATGCAATTTTATTCAAAATATTAATATGAGTTCTAAGAATTTATTTATTTGTATTTATTTATGATATTTACATTCCACCTCAATCAAAGACTTTTGGCAGCTTCCACAACATGAAAAATTAATTAAAACATCCACAGTACAATTCAGTTTTGTAAAAAAATTAAACCCACAAAATAAATAATAAACCAATAAAACAGCAACAATCACAAAAAGGCAGGGGGAAAAAAAGATGAAAGATTAATGAATTCAATTGGAATGGTCTCTGAAAGAGCCCAGCTTTTAATATCCTTCTAAAATTCATCAGGAAGTCTGATATTCCTCAGGAAAATATTCCAAAGCACCAACATGGCCACAAAAAAGCAGTGCCTCCTGGCTTTAGCTCCCAGAACAGTGGGGCCACCAGTATTATAAAATTAAGCCAAAGCATTCACAGAACAGATAAGTTTTGAAGACAGACTGGAGAAAATTACATACCGTATTGTAAAAATTCTAGGAAAGGTTTAAAAGGGGTGAGTGAAACTATTTAAGGGAGCAGGAACGTTTAGAGCAACTGAGGATACAAGACCATACAAAAGGACAAGAATAGTAGGGGGTCAGTGCTATAGAAAAAAAAGTTGATAGAAAACTTGTGCTAGATGCAGAAAATAAATGGGAAACAGAACTTAAGTGCTGGAATTGGACAGATGAGACAAAGCTTTACAGCCCCATTCAGCAGCAAAGCTAACTTAGTCAACTTAGACTTTTCTCAGTCTAATCTATTACAATACACAAGTGATTGTAAGGATAAAATGAGACTTGAGAGAATAATGTACACCATCATTAATTCCTTGGAGGAATTGCAAGATAAAAGTGTAATAGTGAATGAAATGAAAACAGGGTTTATGTATTTATTTGTTTATATGCTACCTCAGTTAAGAAACTCTAGATGGCTTGCATATTAAGGTTAAGGAACAGTAAATAAAAAACAGTAAGAATGAGTTAAGAACAAAAATATTTTTGTGCATTGTGGAAGGGTATCAAAATCAAACATTCTAAGCAATGAAACACCATCAGGAAGTTGATCATTATACCATACCCCATATCTGGCTGAAAGAGTCAGATTTTTACAGCCTTACAAAAGCCCAACAGGGTTAGGGCCTAGCCATGAAGAGTTTTATAGATTAACTGCATCCAGAAGACTACTGGTAACCAGTTCAGTTTGCACTGGTTACTTACAAAGCTGAATTCTAAACCAACTGTGTAGCTTCTGAGTGGTCTTCAAGGGCAGACTCATGTACAATGTTGTGCAGTAATCCAAACAGGAAGTGACCAGGGCATGAGTGATTGTGAGAAGGGCCTTCTGATCTAGAAAAGGGCATAAATGGATTTGTGCAAAAGCCCTCCCAGCCATGGCTGCCACCTCTTCACTGAGCAGAAGCTGGGCATCCCAGAGGACTCTCAAGTTATGCACTAGATCTACCCATCAAGAATTAAAGATGGTAAATCAATGTGGCCAGAAGGCTTTCAAAACCAGTCATGAAGACTTGCCAGGGCTGAGCCTAAGCCTGTTCCTCCCTTTGCACACCCTTATAGTCTCCTGGCAAGTGATGTCATAGCATCACTTGTTTAGCCAGGGGTTGAGATGTAAAGCTTGATATTATCCCCATATTGCTGACACCTGACCCCCACATCAACAATGACCTCACCCAGCAGCCTCATACAAATGTTGAATAGAAGTGGGGAGAGTACTGAGCTCCACGGGACCCCATTAACCAGAATAGAACCCAGAGAAAGGAGGATAACTACTACAAAACTGGGCAAGAGACTACACAATTTGAGAATTAACTAAAATGAGGTAAAACCATGAAGCAGATATTTCAGAACTCAAGAAGATAGGATTAACAGGCCATTAATGTTCTAGCTGGAAAATGGACATGCCCACCCACACACATTTTGCACTGTTTGATAACTAGAAATAATATGCTTTGCAATATAGTGAATACAGAAAATAAAACTCAAAGCTAAGACTCCATGATAGTTGACCAAACGGGTTGCAATATATTATTATGACAATAAG